TGCACGTCACCACACCTGACTTGTTTAGATTGGTCCAGGAACCAAACCTAGGCCTCCTGGGTGATTCCAGGCATGTGCAGCTGAGCCTAACAATGTTTTTTAGTTTATTTTTTCCATGAGTGAGATAGACAAACAGCAACCTCCTCCCCAATGCCATGATCCACCTGATGCCATGATCCACTCCCAGTCTCAGTCAGCTACAGATCTACCATTCTCAAGGAGGTCTCCAGATGCCAGGCTGGGGTTTTCCCATGTGAGTTAGCCTCACAGTGTCGCATGTTACCACTGTGCCACTGTCAGTTCTAAAAACTATGTTCACATTACAGAGGCAACAGAGACTGAGTCTTGAGGATCTGGGTTTGATTCCCAGTTGAACAAGTCACTGGTTGCCTATGGGCCTGTTAATCATCTGGGCAATGGGGATTAGAAGGTGTATCTGTTAGCTCTTGCTTTGTAACAAACCAAACCTCATATTAGTAGCTTAAACAACCATTATTCTCTGAGTCTATAGATTCACTGGTGGCTCTGCTGAGCTAAAGCTGGGCTAGGTAAGGTTCACACAGGTGTCTGTACTCAGGTGGCTTTGGACATCTTGGCTTTCTCACCTGCTCAAGGGCCTGAGCGGGCTCTATTCCAAATGGTTCTCACCCTCTGGCAGGCTAGAGCTTGTTCTTATGGCAAGGTTGGGTTTCAGGAGAGAGCATACAGTTATCCTGCAGCCTAGGCTAGGAACTAACAAAACCTTTCTCCCACTATTTTCCGTTATTTAAAGCAAGTCACAAAGATGTGCAGGGGTGGGGAAATAGATTCCGTCTTTTAAGGAGATGAGCTACAACATCATTTTGCAAGGAGCACTGACACAGGGGAGGGTGGACTATTGGGGTACTTCCTGCACTCTATTACCTGCAGGAGTCACACTCTCCCCAAACTCAGGATACAGGGCACAGAAGTGCTCAGACAGCTATGCTCAAAGACCTAATGGTGCTTTGTAACTTGTAGGCACTCTGCAGGTGCCAGGGCTTCTAAGTGGTGTCCCATCACGTGTGGGGCTTTCTTTGTGCTGCTGTAACGAAATACCTGAGACCGAGTAATTTACAAATAACCAAAGGTTTATTTCCTACAGTTCTTGGGGCCAAGAAGTCCAAGACCAAGGTGTCTGGGGAGGGCTTCACGGATGGCCCCTTGTTGCTGTGTCCTCACATGCCAGGAAGGAACGGCAGCTTCCTCTTGCTGCTTTGACAAGGTTATTAATCCTGTTCAGAGGACAGAGCCCTCGTGACCTAATTACCTCCCCCAAAGGCCCCACCTTCTAATACCACGTCTCTGGTGATTGTTTCGGCATTTGGAGTTTGGAGGGACTTGTGCATCTGAACCTTAGAACTGGGCTGTGTCCCACGTTGTACCTCACCTTTCGGTGGGCCCCTAGGAAAGGCTCACGGAAGTGAAAAGAAATGGAGAAGCAGGCCAGAACAAAGGCAGAACTTTAAACCCTCTGGAATCTGAGAAGCTCCCTTCCCTTAGACCAGATCCAAGCTCTCCTCCCCCTCTGAGCAGCCCTACCCTACCTCCAAGGAAGCCTGATAAGGCATTACTTTGACAGCTCAAGACAGAAGAATTACCTGCCTGGGGACACTAGCTACCCCGGGAGGACCCTGTTCTTTTTCAGGGTACCCACCAGGCCCTGCTTGAGGGGCTGCAGGTAAGAGCCCTCTCCCTTATGTGAACCACTGAGTACGGGTACACACTATTCTCATTCTCAGAAGGCAGGGTATGACCTACCTCGCAGACACCTTCCAGATAACACAGGTGGAGCCCTTGAGACCCAGCCCCACTGGTTCATCACAACCCCCTCCCCCTCCCCCTCTGCAGGGCCTCAGCCTCTAGCCCGCTTCTCCCAAACCTCCATACTGCCTCCCAAAAACACGGACAGGATTGTATCAGAGCTCTGCCAAAAATAAAGCAAGTTAATGTTTACAGTGGGGAGGTGCTCTTCTAAGCACTATCCTTGAATGAACTTGCCCAGAGTTCATGCCTCTCCTGTGAGGTGGTGGTAGTGTTATCCCTGTTTTACAGATAAGGAAACTGAGGCACAGAGTAAAGTGACTGACAGTCATACAATCAGTAAGTGGCAGGGTTAGCAGTGACACATAGATAGTCTAGCGCCTAGCTTGGGCTTCTCAGGGCAGAAGACTACCCTCTGCAGTTCGCTGTTTTCCTAGTAAGTGTTGTAATAATAACGATTAGCATGCTTACATTGCTGCTAGGCCCTGTCCTGGCTGTGTTCTCATTTGAATCTTACATGGCACTGGAGTGCTGGGGTACTAGTATTGTTTTACAGGTAAGGGCTGAGGCACAGGCTGTCCCACAACAGGGATCTGTTACAGTCCAGCTCCTGAGCCAAGCTACTGAGCTAACTTGCTTCCCTAGGGTAGTTCAGCCCCAGGGCTCAGAATCCACACTGCTTTGGCTTTGTGCAGCAAGATCGATGCAAAAGGCTTTTTGTTTCTTTTCCCATCCCAGTCAGACCTCACCCTCCATAAGGCTAGATTTTAGGCCAGCTCTTTGCTTCTATTTCCCCAGCTCACAGCGAGGGGACTCTCATATAGTAGCGGGGGTCAGCGGATGTCACAGGCTGTCAGAGGGGTCTCAGGACCCTCTCTCACAGGACTGGGGTGGCCACCCACAATGATCTGAATATTAGATTCAGTCCAGAACTTGCTGGCTTGGCCTCCAAACCCACCCTTAACCCCCAGATCCTCAAATCCCATTTAATATGCCCGCAGGGAGCTTACTGCTTAGCGGAGCCAACATCACGGCCAGTGCTTTGTAAACGGAATCCCCACAGTAGCAAACCTTGGCCCTACTCACAACGGGTTACAGATTTGGTGATTAAGCCTCAGGAATGGCCAGAGTTTCCCTATGACCATAATCTTATTTTCCCCTCTGAAAAACCACCAGAGGGA